TGAATTCCCTCCCTTCCTCCCTCCCTTCTTTCCTTAATGGGGCTTGAACTCAGGGTCTGGAGGCTATCCTTGAGCTCTTTTGCTCATGGCTAGCACTCTACCACTTTGAGCCACAGCCCCACTTCTGGGGTTTTTTTGTTGTTTTTTTTTGTGGGGGGGTCTGGTCATGAGGCCTGAACTCTGGGCCTGGGCGCTGACCCTCAGCTCTTCAGCTCAAGGTTAGCGCTCTACTGCTTGAGCCACAGCGCCACTTCCGGCTTTTTCTGTTTATGTGGTGCTGAGGAATCGAACCCAGGGCCTCATGCATGCATGCAAGGCAAGCACTCTACCACTGAGCCACCTTCCCAGCCTCCACTTCCAGTTTTTGAGTAAATAGTTGGAGATGAGTCGGGCACTTTTCTGCCTGGGCTGGCTTCAAACTTCTATCCTCAGATCTCAGCCTCCTGAGTAGCTAGGATTACAAGTGTGAGCTACCGATGCCCCTTGCATAAATCTTTTTCAGTGCAATGTTCTATGTATTTATAGGCCTGTTTTTATGTATTCAGTCTACAATTCTAGAATATTTTCTTGGTTCTGCAAATTCCTTTTCTTTTTTTTTTTTTGGTTGTACTAAAGATTGAATTCATTTGCTGGCAAGTTTTTGACACTTGAGCAACACCTCCAGCCTTTTTATTTCATTTTTTAGTTTTAGTTGTTTTTTAGTTTATTGTTGTTGTTGTTGTAGTTTTTGGCCAGCCTTTACCAATGCTTCCTATCTATCTGATATGTGTATCCCACCATTCTCAGCTTACTTGTTGTGAGATGGTCTCATTATCATTTTGTGCAGTCTGGGCTTGAACTGTGATCTTCTTGGACATCCTGGGTAACTGGAATTGTAAACAGGTAATGCCATGCCTAGGCCTATGGAAATTTTCCTTCACTTTTGTTTAGATTTTTTTTCTCAACTCCTCTACTGGATTTTGGACCTCATGAATTTGTTCATTAGTCCTTTATTTGCCAGTCCTGGGGCTTGAACTCAAAGCCTGGGCGCTGTCCTAAGCTTCTTTGGCTCGAGGCTAGTACTCTACCATTTGAGCCACAGCGCCCCTTCTGGCTTTTCCTGTTTATGTGGTATTGAGGAATCGAACCCAGGGCTTCATGCTTGCTAGGCAAACACTGTACCACTAAGCCACATTCCCAGTCATAGTTGATTAATTTTACTATGATATAACTTCTCCCTTTCACTTTTCCTTTTTCTGCATTTTCTATGTCTTATTATTCCCCAGAACACCTTGCTATAGTACCCTGTTAACATTTCATTGCTATAATAATTCTTTTAGCTCTTCTTGGTGTTTATAGAGTGCTTTGTCACTGACCTATATTTCTAGCTCAGTGGGATTTTATTGTTTATTGTTTCAGATAGAGTTTCATTATATAGCTCAGGCTTGCCTTAAATTTGTTTGCGGTCCTTATTCTGCCTCCCAAGGCTGAGATTACAGGTGTAAACCACTGTGTCAGGCCATTGTGTGTCCTGTTCTTTTTTTTTTTTGTCGGTTGTGGGGCCTGAAATCTGGTCCTGGGTGCTGTCCCCCAGCTCTTCAGCTATAGACCAGCACTCTACCACTTGAGCCTCAGCCCCACTTCCAGCTTTTTCTGCTTAAGTGGTGCTGAGGAATTGAACCCAGGGCCTCATGCATACAAGGCAAGCACTCTACCACTGAGCCACCTTCCCAGCCCCAATGTGTCCTGTTCTATTTGTCTTACTCTGTCTTTTCATTTTAGGGCTTTCATAAATGTTTTGACATCTTTAGGTCTACATTAATCTATGTGTATGTGTGTGTGTGTCTGTGTGTGTCTGTGTCTCAGTCGTGGGGCTTGAACTCTGGGCTTGGGCACTGTCCCTATGCTCTTCAGCTCAAGGCAAGCACTCTACCACTTGAGCCATAATGCCACTTCCGGTTTTCTGAGTGGTTTATTGGAGATAAGAGTCTCATGGAGTTTCCTGCACAGGCTGGCTTTTCAGCCTCCTGAGTAACTAGGATTACAGGTATGAGCTACATTAATCTTTAACATTGAGGTGACAAGGATTATTATAATCTCTGTGTGTGTGGATGAGGCTTCTGAAACACTGTGGCCAACCATGCAGTTATCAGTGAGGAACTAAGAGATGAGAAAAATTTCAAATGTTACTGTCTGTGGTATGGTAAATACCATGGTATGGTCATCTGTTGTTTTGTGTGGTGATTGGGCTTGCCTTCTGGGCCTGGGCACCATTCCTAGCTTTTGTCCTCACTCAATCTAGTGCTCCACCTTTTTTTGTTGTTGTTATGGGGCTTGAACTCTGGGCCTTGGCACTGTCCCTTAACTCTTCAGCTTAGCCAAGTGCCCTGTCAATTGAGCCACAACAGCACTTTCAGTTTTTTTGTTTTTGTTTTTGTCGATCATGGGGCTTGAATTCTGGGCCTGGGTGCTGTCCGTCACCTCTAGGCTAGTGCTGTACCATTTGAGCCACAGTGCCACTTCCGGTTTTCTGGTGGTTATTCAAGATGAGTCTCATGGACTTTTTCTGCCCGGGCTGGTTTTGAACTGCAATCCTCAGATCTCAGCCTCCTGAATAGCTAGGATAACAGGTGTGAGCCACCAGTGCCTAGCTCCATCATTCTTTTTTTTTTTTTTTTTTTGTCGGTCATGGGGCTTGAACTCTGGGCTTGGGTGCCATCCCTGTGTTCTTCAGCTCAAGGCAAGCACTCTACCACTTGAGCCACAGTGCCACTTCTGGTTTTCTGGTGGTTTATTGGAGATAAGAGTCTCAAGGACTTTTGTTGCCCGGGCTGGCTTTGAACCGAGATCCTCAGATCTCAGTCTCCTCAGTAGCTAGGATTATAGGTGTGAGCCACGGGCACCTCGCTCCATCATTTAATAGGTCATGGTGAAGTGTAAAAGGAGTCAGGCTTCTCTCACTATCTTTTTTGTTGATGTTTTTGGTTGTGGGACTTGAACTTATGGCCTGGGCACTGTTCCTGAGCTTCTTTGTGCTCAAGGCTAGCGCTCTTACCACTTGAGCCACAGTGCCACTTCTGTTGTTTTTGTTGTTGTTGTTGTTTTGGTCAGTCGTGGGTTTGAACTTGGCCTGGATGCTTTCCCTCAGCTCTTCAGCTCAAGGCTAGTGCTCTACCACTTGAACCACAGTGCCACTTCTGGTTTTCTGATCGTTAATTGGAGATGAGTCTTCTGGTTTTCTGGTTGTTAATTGGAGATGAGTCTCACAGACTTTCCTGCCCAGGCTGGCTTCAAACCAGGATCCTCAGATCTTAGCCTCCTGAGTAGCTAGGATTACAGGTGTGAGCTACTGGTACCCAGCCAGTTCTCACTTTTTTACTCAGGTCTGGTAAGCTACTATTTGAGCCACAACTTGACTTGCAGATTTTGGTGGTCACTTGGAGATTAACTCATACACTTCTTCCTAGGCTGATTTAGAACTAGGATCCTCTTAGTCTCATTTTTTTTTTTTTTTTTTTTTGGGTCCGGTCGTGGGACTTGAACTCTGGGCCTGGGCACTGTCCCTCAGCTCTTCAGCTCAAGACTAGCACTCTACCACTTGAGCCACAGCACCCTTCCAGCTTTTTTTTTTCTTATGTGGTGCTGAGGAATCGAACCCAGGGCCTCGAGCATGCAAGGCAAGTGCTCTACCACTGAGCCACCTTCCCAGCTCCATCATTTTTTTTTTTTTATGACCATCTACTTGGAATTTCCAGACAATGTGGAAATAAGTACCTTATTAAATACTGTTTCATTATTTTCCCTGTCTTCCTTGTCTTTCTCATTCTTCTGTTTGTTCAGTAGTTACCTAGTTTGTGTTTTCTCTGAGTAATGTGTTACAAGATTACATTTCGAAGCAGTTAGAGCTACATATACCTGGATTTTTTTTCTCCAGTCCTGGGGTTTGAAGTCAGGGCCTGGGCACTGTCCCTAAACCTCTCTATGCTCAAGGCTAGTGCTCTACCACTTGAGCCACAGCACCACTTTTGGCTTCCTCAGTTTATACGGAGGAATCAAACCCAGGGCTTCATACATGTAAACAAGCACTTTACAACGAAGCCACCTTCCAGTCCCATACCTGGGAATTTTATTTGTCTTTGAGCTTTCTTGTATAGTAAGAAAGTAGACTTGAATAGTCTTTCGGGTTCAGAGTCTTGTACTTGCTAGGCAGTGCTCTACCATATTTATTAGGACTTTTTTCAATGATTTTTTTTTAACTGTCTTTTAGAAACAGCTTGAGAAGATCATAAATTCATACCAGAGAAATAAGAGAACCATTAATATAAAGACAACAGTATTGCATCCTGTTTTGAAATCAATCTGAGAAAACTTTTCGGCCATAAATTCAACCTTGTTGGATAATATGTGAGAAGTAATGTTAAAAAAAGACCATCTGCTTTGAGTGGCTGTCCAAAAGCTTTCTGCCTTACCACATATAGTAACTACTGGTAAAACCTGGAAGAAAGTCCCTGTGCATGCCAAGAATGTTACAAAGTCTTCCACCTGAAGCAGATCTTCAGTATGATGAAATGTATATAGGAGAGAAACCTCATGATTATAATAAATGCAGAAAAACCTCCTGCTTGAGGCAAAACGTTCTAGAGCCTAAGAAAATGCATCTGAAGGTCAGGTGCTGGTGGCTCATGCCTAATATCTAGCTACTCAGGAGGCTGGGATCTGAGAATCACAGTTTAAAGTGAGCCATGGCTGGAAAGTCCATGAAACTCAAATCTCCATGAGCCAGCAACAAAAACTGGAAGTGATGCTGTGGCTCAAGTGATAGAGTGCTATTATCAAGCAAAAAAAACAAAAATAATCCTTGGGCTGGGTAGCTCAGTGGTAAATTGCTTGCCTAGCATGCATGAGGCCCTGGGTTTGATTCCTCAGTGCCATGTAAGCAGAAAAAGCCAGAAGTAGTGCTGTGGCTCAAGTGGTAGAGCGATAGCCTTGAGCTGACGAGCTGAGGGACAGTGCCTAGGCCCAGAGTTCAGGCCCCACGACCGACAAAAAACAAACAAACACAACAACATGCATCCAGGAGAGAAATCACATGAATGTATTGAATGTGGCAAAGTGTTCTCTCGAGTCTCATCTCTTAATCTCCATTTGAAAAGTCATACAGGGAAGAAGACATATAAATGTACGATGTGTGAGAAAGCTTTTAGCCAGAAGAGAAACTTTCTTTCTCATCAGAAACATCATATGGGAGAAAAGCCCTACGACTGTGTTAAAGCTAATCAAACACCAGCCTTCATGAGACAACAAAGAAATCACTCAGGAGGCAAATCGCATACATGTAAGGCCTGTGGCAAAGCTTTCAGTGGCAAATCTTATCTCCATGAGCATGAAAAAATACATACAGGAGAGAAACCTTTCCAGTGTCATCAGTGTGGCAAAGCCTTCAGTCAGAAGCAGTATCTCATTAAACATCAGAACATCCACAGTGGAAAGAAACCCTTTCAATGTAATGAGTGTGGCAAAGCCTTTAGCCAGAAAGAAAACCTCCTCATCCACCAGAGAATTCACACAGGAGAGAAGCCTTATGAGTGTAAAGGGTGTGGGAAAGCTTTCATTCAGAAGTCGAGCCTTATCAGACACCAGAGGAGTCACACTGGAGAGAAACCCTACACATGTAAGGAGTGTGGCAAAGCCTTCAGTGGCAAATCAAATCTCACTGAACACGAGAAAATTCATATCGGAGAGAAACCTTATAAATGTAATGAATGTGGAACAATCTTCAGGCAGAAGCAGTACCTCATTAAACATCACAATATCCACACAGGAGAGAAGCCCTATGAATGCAATAAATGTGGAAAAGCCTTTTCTCGAATCACATCACTCATTGTGCATGTGAGGATTCACACAGGGGACAAACCTTATGAGTGTAAAATATGTGGTAAAGCCTTCTGTCAAAGCTCTTCACTCACTGTGCATATGAGAAGCCATACTGGTGAGAAACCCTATGGGTGTAATGAATGTGGGAAAGCCTTCTCCCAGTTCTCAACACTTGCTTTGCATATGAGAATCCATACTGGTGAAAAGCCATATCAGTGTAGTGAGTGTGGCAAAGCTTTCAGCCAGAAGTCACACCACATCAGACACCAGCGAATTCACACTCACTAAAGCTCTGGGAACATTTTGTATTTGGGGAAAACGTGCAGTGGAATTTACACTTGATAATGTATCAGGAAATCTGTTTTCACATGAAAGTGACATTCACCTGGTGACGCTAGCAACTCAAAACTGAAAGACTTAAGATGTTTAAGGGTATAATGAAGGCCTATAACATGCCCTTCAGGACTCCCACAACAAATATTACTTCAGGAGTATTTTCGTTCATGATTAAGATCTAGCCAGGTCCTTATGCCTGTAATCCTAGCTACTCAAGAGGCTGAGGTCTGAGGATTGTCATTTGAAGCCAGTCCAGGCAGGAAAGTCCATGAGACTCTTCTCTCCAATTAACTATTAAGAAAAAGCCAGAACTGGCACTGTGGCTCAAGTAGTAAAGCATTAGCCTTGAGCAAAAGAGCTCAAGCCCCAGAACCTACATGAGCACTCACAAACATCTCTAGAATCTATTCATGGACATAGCATGCCCCTGGATGGCCTACCAAACATGTTAAGACATGGTATGAGAGATAGGATTTGAAATTAAAGAGACATTATTTTTATTACATGCCTTACCATATATGTAACCATATATGTCACTGGGGTTGTAGAAAGTTAAGACTGAGGCAGAATATTAAAGGTATCTATATGTGCACCAATTTAAAAGGAGCTGATAATAAGTAGTGGTAATATCTTCCAGATTCTTGGGGAAATTGTGGATGACTTATAAAATGGTCTCAGGGTTGTTGGCTCTTCTTATGGACACATATGCCTGTGTCATTATATTGGCTAAAACATTTATCAAAATTTCAAAGGTATTGAAGGCTACAATGGAAAAATAAAAATCGAAATTTTATAAAGATTAGTCATAAAACCTTGGGGTTAGAATTTCCTTTTTGTGTGTGGGGGTCCGGTCGTGGGGCCTGAACTCTGGGCCTGGGCGCTGTCCCTCAGCTCTTCAGCTCAAGGCTAGCACTCTACCACTTGAGCCACAGTGCCACTTCCAGCTTTTTTTTTCTGCTTATGTGGCGCTGAGGAATCGAACCCAGGGCCTCAAGCATGCAAGGCAAGCACTCTACTACTGAGCCACCTTCCTAGCCCTGGGGTTAGAATTTCTAAACTAAATACCAGAATACTTAAGCTATTAATTTTGAGTATATATACATAAATCCAAGAAGTTGACACCCACCCAAGGAATCCTGTACTAACCAGCCTGTTCATAGCATGAATTATAGTAGCCAAAATTGAACACAAATGTTTGTTGGTTGTGAAGCAGATGGATAAAATGTGTCCTAGACAACAATATTCTCTAGCAGTTAAAATACAATAAATTAAACAGGGTGCTGGTGGCTCAACCCTGTGATCCTAGCTACGCAAGAGGCTGAGATCTGGCTGGGAAGGTGGCTCAGTGGTAGAGCGCTTGCCTTGCAAGTCTGAGGCCCTGGGTTTGATTCCTCAGCACCACATAAGCAAAAAGAAAAAAGCCGGAAGTGGCGCTGTGGCTCAAGTGGTAGAGCGCTAGCCTTGAGCTGAAGAGCTGAGGGACAGCGCCCAGGCCCAGAGTTCAGGCCCCACAACCGGACCCAAAAAAAAAAAAAAAAAAAGAGGCTGAGATCTGATGATTGTGGTTTAAAACCAGCCTAGGCAGGAAAAACTGTGAGACTTGCCTCCAATTACCTACCATAAAACTGGAAATTGCGATATGGCTCAAAGTGGTAGAGTACTAGCCTTGAGGAAAAGAGCTGAAGGCCCTGAGTTCAAGTCCCACAACTGTCAAAAATAAATACAAACTGGGTACTGGTGGCTCAAGACTGTAATCCTAGCTACTCAGGAGGCTAAGATCTGAGGATCACGGCTCAAAGCCAGTCCTGGCAGGAAAGTCCATGAGGCTCTCATATCCAATAAACCACCTGAAAACCAGAAGTGGCACTGTGCCTGAAGTGGTAGAGCACTTGACTTGAGCTGAAGAGCTGAGGGACAGTGCCCAGTACCAGAGTTCAAGACCCAAAACCAACAAAAAAATAAATACAATAAAATACAACAAATTAAATCTGTGATAAATCATGTACAGTGGAGAAATTAAATACTAAATTTATTGTAAATGATGCCTCTGTTTAGTTAAATAAAATCAACACTAACCCTAGTACTAACTCATGGTTATGGAAAACAAAAAACAAGCTGGGTGCCAGTGGCTCACATCTGTAATCCTAGCTATTCAAGAACCTGAGATCTGAGGATCATGCTTCATAACCAGCTTGGCAAAAAAAAAATCCTCATGAGAGTCTTGTCTCCAATTAACCACTTAAAAACCAGAAGTGGTGTTGTGGCTCTAAGTAGAGCACTAACCTTGAGCAAAATTGCCCAGGGACAGTGCTCAGGCTGAGTTCAAGTCCCACAGTTGATCCCTCCCCGCCAAAAAAAGCATAAATCAAATAGATGCTCAATGTCCAAAAGTGGTTGCCTTTTAAAAGGGGGGATGAAGGGGCTGGGAAGGTGGCTCAGTGGTAGAGTGCTTGCCTTGCATGCATGAGGCCCTGGGTTTGATTCCTCAGCACCACATAAACAGAAAAAGCTGGAAGGGGCGCTGTGGCTCAAGTGGTAGAGCACTAGCCTTAAGCTGAAGAGCTGAGGGACAGTGCCCAGGCCCAGAGTTCAGGCCCATGACCCGCAAAAAAAAAAATAAAAGGGAGATGAAGAAGAATTGAAGACCAAGAGGTAAAGGATACTTCACCTTTACCTTTTTCTCATTGGAAAGATTCCATGACTCAGGATGATGGCACACTTGTAAACCCAGCATTCTGGAGACTGAGAAAGAACAATTGTGGAATTTGAGGCCAATCTTGTTTACATTATCTAATGTCTGAGACCCTACCTCAAAAACAAAAAGATTTCATATCCATATGGTAAAACAATCTGACCTGTGGCAATACATATTGTTTTTAACACATATTGGTAATGTTACTTTATTTTTGGTCAGTTGTGGGGCTTGAACTCTGGGCCTGGGTGCTGTCCCTCAGCTCTTCAGCTCAAGGAGAGCACTCTACCACTTGAGCTACAGTGCCACTTCCGGTTTTCTAGTGGTTTATTGGAGACAAAAGTCTTTCCTGCCCAGGTTAGCTTTGAACCGCAATCCTCAGATCTCAGCCTCCTGAGTAGCTAGGATTACAGACGTGAGCCACCAGAGCCCAGCTTTGGTTATGTTACTTCTTAAAACAATGGTGGCTGGAAATGCACTGTGGCTCAAATGGTAGAGAGCTAGTCTTGAACTGAAGAGCTGAGGGACAGCGCCCAGGCCCTGAGTTCAAGCCCCATGCCCGAACAAAAAAAAAAAGATTTGTTAAAACAATGGTGTCTTACACCTGTAACCCTATCTATTCAGATGGCTGAAATTGGAGGATCATGGTTCGAAGCCAATTTGGGCAATAAAGTCTATAAGACTTATTAACCAGCAAAAACACAGAAGTGAGAATGTGGCTCAAGTACCATCCTTGAGTGGAAAGGCTAAGAGATAGTACTCAGACCCTGAGTTCAAGCCCCAATACTGGGACACACACACACACAAATGACAGTTGGCCTGTCTTAGTCTCCATTTTTCTTAGCTATCCTATATACCAGTGCATAGTAACTTACAAAAGATTTACAACCTCTTCAGAAATGTTTCATAACACATAGTATAAAATTGTCTTCATAGTTTTCTGTTCTTTTCCTATATGGTAACACAGGTATCTTTTTAGGATGGAGAGAAATCCAAACTAATTGAGAAAGTGTTTTCCCCATTTGCTAAATTTGAGGCAATGGGATTTAAATTATGGGAGCATTAGTGAGAAGGGATGACTTGACATTGTAAGAATAGAGAGTAGAGTGATATGTCACCACTTTCTGCTCTATTTCAGCCACCACTCCAGTTATCAGCATATTTTCATATATTTGGGAGTGTCATGTTCTGTAAATTATTCCTCTTCGTCCTCTTCCTGAGACAAATCTCACCACGCCTTCTGTCACAGAACACCAAGCCAGATTCACCTCGGGAAGAGTCCGTAACAGCGCTCGTGCTGGATCCGATAGGATTCAAGGAAGTCTGTGGTTTGTGCCCAATGGAGGCTTCTTCGTGACAACCTAACACAGGTGGCCAGATTGAAGGAGTCTACCGTTCCTCGGTCTGAACTACATTTCCCAGAAGACTCAGCGGGTCGGATTCTCTTCGCGCGAGACTTTTTCTCGGCAGCTGTGTCACTTGTACGGATAGCACAGAGGATCCGAAACGTTACAGACTGGGGAGGGCTGTCTGTTGAAACTGTGGCTGGAGACTGGTTGGGGATTCCGAGAACCATTCGGGGTGGAGTTTGCTGAAAGGCTAAACCTCCGAGGGGCGTTGCTGCGAGGGGCGTTTTTCCTTTCGGCGGAACCGTAGCTAACGGCCGGTGGCAACTCTGAAGCTCGGGAGGCCATCTTGTTCGCTTCTGTTCCGCCTCCGACTACGCTTCCCAGGAGACCCTTGGGCATCTCGCGGTAATTGAGTCGAGGTCACGCGCTGGCGGGACCTTTATGCTTTCCCCTGTGATTGCTGCAGTGCTGAGGGGGGTTGTGCTGTTTGGGGGGAGCGTGTGGGGCCCGAGGTGAGGAACTGCCCCGGGAGGGCGGAGCCCAGTCCGGAGCCTGAGATTTGTGCAGGCCTGAGTGGAGATTGCAATTGTGATACTGTGTCTGCCTGATGGTTTGAAATGAGCGGTCGGGTTGTTGCAACCGTCCGTTTAAGTGATTGATGACTATTTCTTTCAAATGGGAACATCCTGTGCAGACGCTGTGCTCTGTGTGTGTGTGTGTGTGTGTGTGTGTGTGTGTGAGAGAGAGAGAGAGAGAGGGAGAGAGAGGGAGAGGGAGGAGGGGAGGGAGAGGGAGGAGGGAGATCAAAAGATATGCATCCTCTGCGGCATTGTGCGAGGGTGTGGGAAAGTTGTGACTCGGGTGTCCTCTTGCCCGATGGTGGTGAGTGAGTGTATACCCATGGGACTACGTGCAGCATGTGGGAATACCCGTGAATACTGCTTCACGGTGTGATTGATTGGTGTAGGTGTGTGGTGCCTGGAACAGTGCATCTGTGATTGTGAGGCAGTTACAAGCTCACCTGTCCGTTTTGTGTCCCTGCATGTGTGACCCTGTACCTCTGGATACGTGACACATGGTGTGGGTGTGGGTATTCTGTAGCCAAATACTGTATCATTGTGTGTCTGTGATTACATCTTCGTGACGTTGTATTACTACATTATTGCACTATAGTTTTTCCCCAGTTTAGAACTT